CTGGATAGCTGGCCAATCACAGCACACCTCGCTTTTTCAGACCGATGAGCTTTGTAAAAATCGACGCGTTTCAGAAAGGCGGGACATAGAGGAGAAACAATAATGTACAGTATATGTGGAAAACGTTTTTTTTTTTTACCGTAAACCGCATAAACATTTCATTACACCAAATACACAAAATAATGTTATTTTTAGCAACATCATATGACCCCTTTAATATGTATTGTTTATATTAACTAATAATAGTAATTGTTAATTATTATTATTAATTATTAATAGTAAGTAAGCATTTATTTATATAGCACCTTTCAAAACAAAGTTACAAAGTGCTTTACAATAAAAAGATCAGTACAGTAACAAAATACAAAAAATACCATCAAATTTAAGAAAAAGCCATACGATAAAAATGAGTCTTAAGAAGAGACTTAAAAGAAGATACAGTAGGAGCCTGCCTAATATCCCCAGGCAGGGAGTTCCATAGCTTAGGCGCACGGATAGCAAAAGCACGGTCACCTTTGGTAACAAGTCGAGATTTTGGAAACATTAATAGGGCCCTACCGGAGGATCTCAAGCAGCGATCAGGTTCATAAGGAATTAATAAATCACAAATATAGGCAGATATATATATATCCCAGACATAATATGGGATGTATCAATAATACCAGGCTTTACCGGGACATACAATTGCGTATCATCTGCATAGCAGTGGAATTCAATGTCATAACTGCGCATAATTTGACCCAGGGCCAGGGGTAACATGTAGATAGTAAACAGAAGGGGACCCAAAATAGATCACTGAGGGACCCCACAAAATAAAGGAGCACGAGAAGAGGAGGCATCTCAAAGCACTACAGAAAAAGACCTATTCGACAAATAAGAAATAAACCAATCCAGAGCTACATCTCTGATACCAACATACTTTTTAAAAAAAAATATTAACAATGCTAAAGTCTTCTCAGGTTATTTTCACTACAAATAATAATTAAGACTCAAGAATGTGGCATTTGTGTTTGAATGAACTAGCGCAGGGGTGCCCAAACTCAGTCCTGGAGGGCCGGTGTCCTGCAGAGTTTAGCTCCAACTTGCCTCAACACACCTGCCTTTAGGTTTCTAGTATGCCTAGTAAGAGCTTGATTAGCTGGTTCAGGTGTGGTTAATTAGGGTTGGAGCTAAACTCTTCAGGACACCGGCCCTCCAGGACCGAGTTTGGACACCCCTGAACTAGCGCAACCTGAAAGTAGCAAAAGTAATGTTATAGTTTTTGCAGATTAATGCTCATTTCCAGCTAATAAAAATATGTTCTAAGAATGTTTTGCTAACGTTCCCATTACTTTATGAAAGCATTATTTCTAGATGTTCTCTGAACATTCAAAACGTCCCGTTTTTTTTATTTTTTTAAATGTTTTTCTTGGTTATGTGAATGTTAAGGGAACATTCCATTTTGATTATTTGGATTTGATTTAACAATATGAGAATGTTACTTTTGAATGTCCTCTGAACATTCTGAAAAATGTAGTAACGTTTAAAAATGTTAGAAGACGTTTCCAAAAAGAGAGCGATGTATGAATATTTTTGTGCTGACATTTTGAGAGAATTATTAAAACCCAGGTAACTGGGATTTTGAACTATTAATATTACTTGAAAAATGTTTGTTCGAAGCGGATATCTTCCTCTTTTGGAAGGCCAAACAAAGTAGTTTTCTCTTTCCCAACGAAACACACAGTGCCTTCACGACAAGGCGGCGATGGCAACAACAATACTACAGCGAGAATAAAAGTTACGCCTTCTTTCTTTGCGTGAACATTTGGGAGGCGTTATGCAAATCTTCCCACATCGTGACGTAGACATGTGGGGGCGTGTTAGAACGAGCCGTTTTAGGTAGGTGTGGCTGACTCTTAACTTTTATAAAGAATATCTCTTTGGATTTGAGACTTTAGTCTTTACAACTTTACAGATCTTCTTTATGCACCAAGAGCTTGTAACACTCCAAAGAGAAAGGAAAAATTGAAATTGCATCATATGACCCCTTTAATGGTGTTTATTGCCGAATATGTGTGGAATATCGAAACCAAACTAGCCCTGCTGTTTACTTCCATCTTTGCCATGAATGACGGTGAAGGTGTAAAATAAGGTATATTCTAACATGAGTCCTCTCTGTACTGTAATCAGGTTCAGAACGGATGAGCCCGTGCACATCAACATCATCAGAGATCCCATCAACCGATTCCTGTCCAATTATTTCTTCCGGCGCTTCGGTGACTGGAGGGGGGAAGAGAATCACGTCGTCCGGACCCCTGGGATGAAAGACGACGAGAGATACTTAGTAAGAGCTTTAAAACGAATGTGTTTCTGAAGAAAGTAGCAGTTGACGCTAGGCTAGAGAAACACAGTACAAATGTACAGTAATGAGAAGTGAGTGAATGAACTGCGCTGTCATAATGAAGTGTGTACTGTGCGATTCACATGAATGCCTCCTTCACTGCTCAGCGGGCAGCGTTTATTAGCACGGTTTACTCAGTCTATATTTAGTGTGAGACTGACTTGACTGTGCTGCTGCTTTTCCTGTCAGTCATTAGTGTGACGTGTGGTGGTGCTTTACAGGCGGTGTACAGTACTGTGCACATACAGTATGACGTCATCTGATGTTTACAGTTTCTCTAAAGATACCAAAGCAATCATATACGTTCTATACAATACACATGGGTATGCATGATTAAATACTAATTTTCGTCTGTTCATTTTCTGCAACTTTCCCTGGAATGTTGTGGTTTTGTTTGCTCAGCAGCAGGAAATAGCCAGGCATGGGTGGTTGGTTGGTTGGAGACTGATATGAATGACCCCACAGTCACAGCATTTGTGTGTTCAGACCCCTTGTGGATGAATATATAAACAAACACAGCACTGTTCTCAGAGCTTCAGTGCAGTTCAACAGCTATATCAGTGTAACAGCACTAGCATAACTAACTGTGAAATGTTACTGTTGGCACTTTGATGCATTGCTTTTGTTCATCTTTGGATAAAAGCATCCGCTAAATGCATAAATGTAAATGTTTCCAATATGTTCTTAATGACCATAGGACATCAACACGTGCATCTTGGAAAGTTACCCAGAATGCTCCAATCCCCGGCTCTTCTACATTATCCCATATTTCTGTGGGCAGCATCCTCAGTGCAGGTGACACTCGTATTTTATTTATGTGATTCATTTCAAGCATTTTTATCCAAGCTCCAAAACATGATGCAAAAACAAGAGATTCGTAAATGTTTCAAAGCTTCAGGAAAGGTTCATTTGAAAGCTTCCATCACTATCATTAGATGCTCGTGAGTGATCACTGCAACTGAGTAATCTGTGGTGCAATCATCTGTCATGAACTAGAGAGCCGTGTTTGTGGGCGCTGGAGACGGCCAAGCAGAACGTTCTGGATCATTACCTGCTGGTAGGAGTGTTGGAGGAACTTGAGGATGTGCTGCTTCTGCTGGAGAGACTCCTTCCACACTTCTTCTCTGACGTCTTGAACATCTACAAAAGTCCAGGTGAGACTTTTTTCAGATTTACAGAGATGATATTTAGCATGCAAGCAGATGTTTAGATGGTTAGTTGGTAACAAAGTTGGTTGTTGTTTTTTTCAGCATCAAGATTTCAGGATAAATACATATAAGCTGTATATTTCAGGTAGTTTGACTGGTCACCTTTTTTCCAATGTAATTGTAATCACGTTTGTGCACTTTTTAATGAATTTAAATCTTTAAGGCAGTGCAGTGTCAGAAATGTTAAAAAAATTACAAATGTTAATTTTTAAATTTAATTATATAATAAGTACTTAATTTAAATTTCTATATTTTTAACCATTAAGTCAAATTATTTTAAATACATAAATATAATAAATAGATAGAATATAAATAAATACACAGATAGAATAGAAAAAGACTAGAGCAAGCTAGTGTTAGAGGCCTTTTTTTGCTTTTTGTTAATTGTATAATAAATAAAAAGAAAACAAATAGATAGAATAGAATAGAAAAAGAATAGAAAAGCTAGTGTTAGCTTTTTGTTTTTTTTAATAAATAAAACAAGCAGTTAGTAAATGAATAGAGTGCAAGTCTAAAAGGGGCAAGTATTTTTTTAAAGAATATAATTAGAATAGGGTGTAAAATGTGTATAAAATATGTATATTGATATAAATGTAGTTATATATATTATATATAACTACATTTTAGTTATATAATATTAAATGTAATTACTTAAAAATACAAATATTTATTTGAATAAACAATTTCTATATAACTTGTAAGTATATAAAAATATATGCTTTTTATATACTTTCAGTATTGTCATAAACTCCATGTAGAATTAATGTACAGCAGACTTTTTATTAAGCTTTATGAAAATAATTTATGTCTAAATCTGGCTCTGTTTGATTCAGAATACAGGAAGCTGGGGAACATGACAGGCACCGTCCACAAACAGACTCCTAATCTAGAGGCCCTGCAGGTGCTTTATGAGCGCATGGAGTACGAGTACAAATTCTACAACTTCGTCAAAGCTCAGTTCCACCTCACCAAGAGGAAGATCGGCCTGAGATCTGGCCCAAAACCCTCCAGACGTTATTCCAGTGTGCTTCAGAGAAAAGACCTCCAGGAGGAGCTGGAGGAAGAGGACACAGAAGACTCACTGGACTGGACCGAACACACCTGAGAGATGCTCTGAGACCGGAGCACATGCAGATACGGTCTACAAGAGTCTAAAATAACTGATCATTCAGCTCCTACAGAACCATAAAACTGGACAAAGCTTGAAAATCATGATTTTATGTTTATTTGTAAAAGAAAAAAAATTATTGCACTGAATGTTATCAGCATTCTTAGACTGTAGAATATTTAAAGGGGTCATATGATGTTGCTAAAAAGAACATTATTTTGAGTATTTGGTGTAATGAAATGTGTTTATGCGGTTTAAGGTTAAAAAAACACATTATTTTCCACATACTGTACATTATTGTTTCTCCTCTATGCCCCGTCTTTCTGAAACGCGTCGATTTTTACAAAACTCATCGGTCTGAAAAGC